AAAATACGGCGACGCTTTGTTCGCGTTGCGTGAAATTACGAGACAGGATATCGCAGATTTTTCGGAAAAAATTAGCGACGAGGTTTTACAAGCCGGAACGTGATGAATTTCTGCGAGGCAATCGTGCGATACAACGCACACACGATTCCGTGAAAACAGCCGGCGGGCGCGCGATGATTCCTCATAATTAATCATGTCACGGTGAAACAGTATCGCTTTATTGGTCGCGTTACGTTTAACGGGCTTTCGAATTTTCCCGTTCGCGAGGAGAGTGATTTTCGACTGAAAAGAGCACGCACGGCCTTTAATTGTACGAATTAATCGCCACGTTTGACCGAACCGGCAGGCTTTTTACTCCCTCGTTTATCCACCTGGAGCCAATTTTCAATACGTTTCGCCAGTCCTCTTTTTCACGGCGTTCTCATATTCCGCTTTTACAATTAAGCGTTGCGCGGGTAATGCGCTTGAAAAATAAAATCCGACGGAGCCGGGGAATACTCCTCCCATTTCGCCGAGCTATCGCGTTATAGTGGAAAAGAGTTTGCATCGTTGATAATTTACGACAGGAGGAGGAACGAACACTTACAACGAACGTATAAACAACGGTCAACTGGTCGTCTCCAATTTTCCAATGCGAAACTGAAAAATGGGAAAAAAAACGGCACGGCATGAAAGTGCATCCAACTATAAACCACGAAACACAGTCTGGGATAACAAGATTCGGTGGATTCGAAAACGGGAGAGAAGTTGCAGGAGCGATAAACCTGGTTCGTTCGTTTCCTAGGAGGAGTGGGACATCGAGAATACCGACGTAACGTCCGGTATTTGCCGAGATTCCTTCGGACCAGGAATAAAACGGAAAAATAATTCGGAAGTAGGCACAATAATGAAAACCGCACTTTGTTTTCTGTCCTTCGGTTCCTCGTGAAACATTCAAGAGCCCGAGACAAAAGCGCCTCGCGAGACGATGATTTCTCCTGTCCCGATCGACGAATACCACTTCAACTGGAGATGGAACCAGCAGCGACGAGCAAGGGTGGAAAAAAGGAGGAAAGGAAGCAGAGAGGAAAGATCGTGGTTTTGGAGGGCAGCTATTATGCTTTCCAAGATTTTCGAAGGCTCGAGCAGCATTGTTTCACAACGGGGAAAGGGCCATGCTGGCGTCTTGAGTCGAGGCGAAACATGGGCTACACTCCGCGGAAGACAAATGAACGTTCTTTCCCAGCGGCATGGGCCGTGCGCCAAACTACAATCCACCTTACTCTTTGCGAGTCCTCTCCTTTTCCTTTCTCCCTTTCTTCCCTTTAATCCCACTTTTTTCCACTCCTCCTCCTCCTCGTCCACATCTTTTCGTTCCTCTTTATTTCGCCAAACTTTAGATCGGCAAGTTTCGCGAGATTCGTCACGCGACACGCGTCAAGTTCCCCGTCCCTGATTTGCCGCTCGTCGTACACGAGGGATCGATTTTTCCCACTCGCCTTTCCAACTACCCCAACACCAAAGCGTATCTCACCGAATCCGAGTCTGTGGATAACCGGACAGGACAAGGGAGGCCCCGATTCTTTAGTTGGATTCCTTTGTATTCGGCGAAATTCCGGCCAAAGTTCCGCCGGTGATGATCGCTGAAAAGGGCTACCCCCTAGGCAGAAGATCAATTTGCACCGAGACGTATTTCGCCGCTATTCTTCCCAACAGTTTTCCCTTGATTCGGCATTCAACGAACGTGCAAAGAAAAAAACTACTCCACGGTCCTACCTTTTCCAGCCTGTTAAATATCTCCACGTTTGAATTTTTCAATATTCGAATTTGAAAAATTGCCTTTTATAAAGGTCGCTCCGAAGCGCGTACACCGCTTTCTCGAAACACAACGAAAACTATAGCTGGCCGCGGGAAAAGAGTTTGGAAGATTTGTACTTGCTTTAGCGACGACACCCCTCCGCGTGAGAAATATTTATTACCACGGGACCGGGATTGCTTTGCTGTAACAGATACAGTTGCGCCAAGTGTACGCATCATACGAACCAGGTACAAGCATACACAGATCGAAACGCAGATGTGCAAAGCTGGTACGGATCGTGTGTAAGCAACGCACTTAATCGTTCGCGTGCACGCCACACAGAAGCGACCGCAAGACTGCGTAAACGTTACACATTATCGGTACTCGTCGATCGTTCGTCCGTTCGTTCGTTTCCATTAACAGACTCATCCGGAGCGTGGAACGAGTTGGAAAAACGACGTGAATTCGTAACGAGATTCGTGGATGTAGCAACGCGGGATAACGTTTCGCGCGAGTGTACGTCGATCAAGCTTCGTTTGTCAAAGAAATTCGTAGACTAATCGATCCCTGTTAATTACGTTATTAAACACGCTAGTCACTAAGCTATACATACCATCGATTACTATTCTTAACGTTTAAGAGAGCGATTAATAGAAGGAGGGAGAGAGTTTTGCTCATATACAAAACCCAGCTGCTTTCTTCAACTTCTCTCCTCACCGCAGTGTTCGTACCCGTCGCCGTTTCCTTTTTTCTTCTTCTTCTTCTTCTTCTACTACTCCTAGATTTGGCGAGGCAAGTGAGCGCAGCTGGGTTAAGGATCAGACGGATCTGATTAAATTGCTCCTATAAGATGCATCCGCAGGTGCGACGACGCTGGCTGGATGGTTCGTCGGGAGGGAGGGAATGCATATTCCGAAATGGACGATTTTTTACGGCGGCTTAGTCCGTCCGGGGAAAATTGCATTTTTCAAATTCGCTTCCGGAGGGCGGTAACGCTCGCGTCTGACTCTTCGAAATTAATCGGAGTGGCGACCGTTTGTGCTCGTTAAATAACACATTTTCTCGAGCCGGTCGCTTCTCTCTCGCATTATTGAACCTGGGGCTAGAGAGCAGCAGCCGTGGAACAACCGGGGGAAAGTAATTATCGAAAACGGTCGCGATTCGCTTTCCAAAGTGGAAATTGTTTTCCCGAGAGAACCGAATCAACCTTCACACGCCGATACGTCCTTTTTCCAAAGTTCCAGAGTTCAAATGTACAACTTCTTCAAGTTATTCAAGCGGAACTAATTGTAAGTCAGCTCGTGCGAGCCGACCTCCGATTTTTTAACACTTCTATCGACAGTCCTTGAAAAGTATACCGTGAAAGTGCATAATCAGAAAGAGCCGGCCGAATCCAGCGAACAGCAGTATCGAGGGGGAAAAAAGAAGAGGGATGAAGAATGTTTAAAGAAGGAGAAAAACGCTGTGAAAGGTAGCACAAGCTCAACGACATCGCTGAATCGATTCGGCCAGGGCTTTCGTTCTCTCAGATTTATCTAGATAATTATAATCGGTAATTTATGTATAGAAGAAGCGGCAGATCGATGAATGGGCGAGAGGAATCATCCCGAACGGGTGAAATCCGGCGGCGCGTAAAACGTATATTTGTATATATGGTCGTGTACAAGCTCGTGTAACGAGATACATAGATATTATAAATAACATATTAATAAGACATAACTATCCGTTGGTACATATCGCACTTACAACCGGTAGAGATTAAAGAAGATGCTTCGAGAATGAGAATGAGAGAGAAAGAAGAGGAAACGAAGCGTCTCCTAGTGTCGAGGAAAAATCGAAAAATCGAAAAATCGAAAACAATTTCCTGGCGAAACGAAAAGGAAGACGACGCAACGAGACGTGTTTGAAACGAGACTCGGATAGAGAGATCGTTCGTTCGCTTGGTAAAAGAGCTTCGAGAAATTAGTAGCGGCAAAAGGTCTCGTTGCATCGATCTCGATCGCTGCAACTGGTCATCGACTACGTCTGTACGGAAAAATTCGACAGTTCGAGATCGCCTTTTATAAATTTTATACCTCTGAAACGGAAATCCTTTCGCTCTTCTTTCCCGCGGGCTGTTTCGCGAGCAATTCAAAGTGACGCGCGAACTGTCAT